TGGGTCCCTTGAATGTCCATATGAATTTTAGAATTAGTTTGTAAATTTTTGCAAGAAAAAAACAGCTAGCATTTTGATTGGGATTGTGTTCAATCTGCTGGGGAGTATTGCTATCTTAAGAAAATTAAGTCTTCAGATCCGTGGATACAGGATGTCTTTCCATTTTTATTTAGATCTATTTTATTACTTTCAACAATATTTGGTAGTTTTCAGGGTCTAAGTTTTGTACCTTATTGTTGAATTTATTTCTAAGTAATTTAATCTTTTTGATGCCACTGTAAATGCTATTTTTTCCCCAAATCAATTTTCACAATGGTAAGAGACTCTTAATATACTTTTAAAAAAATGTCATTTAATCTTTACCACGAGTCTAGGAGGTAGGTATTATTTCTCTTTGCAGATGAAGAAAGTAAGTTCAAATAAGTTAAATGATTTTGCCTGCAAGGCAACCAAGGTAGTATTTCTGAGAGGACCTCTAGATGAGTGAGGAGGAAGTTCACCCAACCTGACTGCAGACCTTTGCATACTTTTTGAAAGTAAGTTCAAATAAGTTAAATGATTTTGCCTGCAAGGCAACCAAGGTAGTATTTCTGAAAGGACCTCTAGATGAGTGAGGAGGAAGTTCACCCAACCTGACTGCAAACCTTTGCATACTTTTCGTTTCCCCTTTGAAACCAAGGTTGCAGTATACCAGGAGGGTGGGGAGGGGAAAGTCAAGTTATATCAAGAGAAAGAGGTATTCAAGAAGGAGAGTTGGATCTTGAATAGTGGTGAGTATCGATTCATCCTGCCTTTTATCTCTTAAGTCTTAAGGAGTTATTTGGAGGCAGTTTGATTTAGTGACTAAAGGCCCAGGTCCTGGGTTTCAGCTCTGGCTTCACCATTTAACTTGCTGTCTGACTCAGCAAGTTATATACTTTGATTCTCTTTCATTTTGTTCTGTAAAGCAGAGCAGTTGTAAGATCTACCTACCTACCTCATAGGGTTGTTGTTAAAAAAAATTAAAATACTATTCATGTAGTAAAGCTCAGAACCCAGGGCCTAGGACATAGTAAAGGTTCAGTTAAATGTTAACTGTCATTGTTCTGTTGCTCATAGCTTTAGTCTTATTCCATACTCATTTTTCTCTTTTCAGTACAAGTTCAGGGATCTAACTGTGGAAGAACTAAAGAATGTAAATGTGTTTTTCCCATATTTCAGATATTCCATCGACACTTATGGTAAGAATCATATTCTCTAGTTTTTGCTGCATTATTTGAACTATTAATTATTTGGTTCTAGAGAGCTGCCAAATCATAATTTCTCATTATTCTCTTTTATCCCCTCATTTGAGATATACTTTGTGACCTGTGGTTTCTGAGTAAATTTAAGTTAACACTATATATTGTATTAGTTTTCTATTGCTGCTGTAACAAATTACCACAAACTTAGTGGCTTAAAAAGAGACCCACAGATTTGCTGTCGTACAGTTCTATAGGCTACAAGTCCAACAAATTTCTGTAGCTTAGAAGTTTGACTATGCTAAATCAAGGGGTCAGCAAGTCTTTGTTCCTTTCTGAAGGTTCTGGGGTAGGATCTGTTTCCTTGCCTTTTTTAGTTTCTAGAAGTCACTCGTACTTGTTGGTTTTTGGTCTCCTTCTTCCATCTTCAAAGCCAGCAATGTTGCATGTCTCTAACCATTCTTCAATAGTCAAATCTCCCTTTGACTACAGCTGGGGAAGGTTCTCTGCTTTTAAGAACCAATGGGATTAGATTAGACCCACCCCAATAATATAGGAGGTGGGTATTATTTCTCTTTGCAGATGAGAAAATAACTTCAAAGAAGTTAAATGATTTTGCCCACAAGGCAAACAAGGTAGGTACATCTAAAAAGTCCCTTTGCCAAGTAAGGTAACATATTCACACGTTCCAAGGATGAGAATATGGACATCTTAGGAGGGCCTTTATTCTGCCTACCGCACATATGATTGATTCTAAATTATTAATAACAAAGTTTTGGTTATCTTGTTCACTTAATAGAGAAGATCTGGTTATCTAAGATAGATTTTACTTTGTTATCTTTCAAAAATTTCTTACCACAACCCACAGTGGGAAATATATTTTATATCATAATCCCATATACACATAACTAAAATACTATGTTCATTCTGGCATTTTCTCTTCTATTCCATCCCATTCCGTTCCATTTAAAAACGAATGCTAGTTGAGACTCACTAAGTTGATTTCAGGACCCGTGAATTAGTCAATATGCACAGTTTTGAAAAACTTCTTCATTCTACATGTGTATGTTTTAAATTTGAGTTACTTTTGGTTAAGAAAATGTATCTAATTCAGATTCATATATTGGACATCTTGAGGAGTTACTGAAATATTGCTTGGGAACAGTCAATTGTTTATGTGGAAGAAATTATTAGATTCTGATTAATCTGTGACTGGCCTCTTTTGATTAGCACCTAGTTATGTGGTGCTGCATTAATGCCTGGAATCTCAAGGGATGTAATATGCTTCCATATATGCTTCCAAATGTTTTATCTATGTTATCTTATGTATTTTTTACAACCAAAATTGAGAGATATTATCGTCTTCATTTCGCAGATATACTGAGGCTCAGAGAGTTTAAATGACTTGCTCAAGATTACACAGCTCATCAGGGATGAAGCTGGGGTTTGCACTGTCTTGCACTCTGTTTCCTCTTGTACAGTGTCTTTCTTCATCATATGGATTTGATGCTTCTTTGTACCAGTTAATTCTTATTCTGATTTCTCTCTGTGTAAAGAAAGCTCTGGGGCTGAGCCCATGGCGCACTCGGGAGAGTGCAGCGCTGGAAGCACGGCAGTGCTCCCGCCACGGGTTCGGATCCTATATAGGGATGACCGGTGTGTTCACAGTGCTCACTGGCTGAGCACGGTGCGGCCGGTCTCAAAAAGGACAAAAAAAAAAA